GCACCAATACCTCGATCTCATCAACGCAAACAACAGAGCTAGAGAACAAAGACCTGCATTCTTAGTGCTAACGCCTCAAATAAAGGATACAGTTCACCGATTAACTGCCTAAAATTGCAGGGTGCGAATTAGATATCTTAACGCATTCTAAACAATATAGGGCCATCTATCAGTGTGCTGTGTCACATCAGAGCATGTAACATGCAAAACTGAAGTCCTATGAATACTTTCACCTGAGTAATCATGAGGAAAAATCAAGCCTGCAACATCACCACAGATAAGGGTAGGGACACACCAAGCTGACGACAAAGAACTAGCACTGAGGAAAGCCGACTGTGGCGCCGCCTCACATCGCCTGCGTCAGGGCAAAAAAAGTTGCACTGGAACACATCGGACAGACTACAGCCGACAGCCAACTAGCGCGAACGCTCTGCGCTTGCGTGAAAGAACATACCTCTGCAGGGATTTGCTGATGTCCGATATGCCGATATTTTTCAACTCATTTTGGCCGATAGCCAATGCCAATAACGATATATTTCCTTTTGTTTAGAAACAACACCAAGTCTCCTATGCAGAGATTATAAACAAATTATTTTTAATGTTTTTTTTTTTACAAAAACTTACTTGTTAGAATTAAATAAACAACAATGAAGTTATTTTATAATGACAGTACATTTAAAGCTTTGAAAATAACTATAAATTAATCACTGCATTTGTTTTTCAGACAGATGTAACATTCGTAGATGGTCTAAAGCAAAAGAGTTGTAAATATTTTGAAAATCTTTTGAAGCTCCTTGTATTTAAGTTTTCATAATCTGTTTGAAAAACAAAAACATATTACACATTAATGAATAAATCTGTATATATAAAATTACTTAATTTACAAGTGTCATGTTTGTGATTTTTATTCATGTAATCTAGGGGTGTTGTAATTAATCGTTTCTATGATGTATCGCGATGCAGTCAAGGACGATTCGGTATCGGTTCAGTAATAGACCATAACCGATTACAACGTACAAACGCTTTTCTGACATCATTTGTCGCATACGTGCTTTGTTGCGGTAGCAACAATGGCAGAGGGAGGCGAGACGCGAGTGCGAGTAATTAAAAATGCTCCAACTACTTTAAAAGCCGACATCTGGACACATTTCGGCTTTTATGAACAACCTGGTAAGCAGTGCATCGCCAATGCATCGTGATATCGAATTGAACTGATTTGATGACATGATAATCATAATCGAACCGAACCGTTAGACCAGTGTAGGTTCACACCCCTAGAAGCTATAGCTTCTGACCTTTAAATCAAACCAAAACATACTTGTGATTTTATGATATCAATTACGGTCTAATTTAATCAGAAACACAATGTTAATGTTATTTGTGTATTTTACATAAATTTTATTACAAACAAGCCAACAGCATCCCCTAAGTAAATAAAACGCCTTACCAGAGAGTGCATTAGGGCCCGGAGGAGGCAGTCGCTGCTGACTCTATCACACAAAGGATGCAGCATTCTCAGATTAAATGCGGCAATCAAAAACAGTGAATCTAATCATCATTCAGGAAAAAGTTTGCTTCTAGAATGACCACACTGCTGACGTGATCTTATCGCTTGCACACCCTGAGCCCTGAATAGCCAATCAGAGTTCTCTTTCTTGCCGATAAGCTCCACCGCCGATTCAACATGCAGAAATCGGAAAACAGCTGACGTTGTCCAACTAGAGCCAACTAGAGCCAATGGTGTGGAACACACCAAAAAAACTAAAGCTAACCGAAACTTAAAAACCACCCGACATTGCCCGACGGCCGACCGCTGGTTAGATGTGTCCCGGGCTTAAGAGTGAAGAGCAAACACAGCTTAATCAGCTTCGACCCCTCACAAAAATAGGTTATTTATTTCACTTAAAATGAAATTCCACTTCTAATCCTTGGAAATGTGAGATGAGCTGGATGGGCATGTTCATATTTTCTAAAGTAGTATTTCCAAAGAAGGAATAAAAGAGAAAGCACAAAAACTGAAATGATGTAACAGGACAATCTACTTATTCTTTGAAAATGACTAAGTACTAAGCTTTCATGTTTTTAAATAAGAATGTAAGGCTGCAAAGTCTGAAATGTTTAAAGTGGTTATATCATATGCTTTTAGTTATTTTAGTTTTTTTTAGGTTTCTGGCAACAAAAAAAACATTCATCATGTAGTTTTACATTACCATTTATAGATAGTCATGGTACATTTAAATAAATACACCTTTACACAATACAGATTATATGTTTTAGGGCTGGATTTCTTCAACCCAACTTTGGGTCAAATATGGACTAACCCAACTTTTGGGCTTTGACCCAAAGTTGGGTTGAAACAATCCAGCATTTTTTAGAGTGTACCTTACGATAAACTATACATTGTGATACATGTCACAATTCATCACACTTTGATCAAATAAATTTGTGTATAGAAAACAACACATTTGAGCCAATGCTACATTGCTTAGCAAATATAAACCACCTAACACCTAAGCTACATTACTTGTCAGAATTTTTTTTTATTTTGATTCAATAACAAATTAATCAATTTGATAAGGGATATCATGCCATGCCTGAGTGCCTAACGAACAATTATAAGCTATGACCAAAGAGTGGTTGATTGTCAGGGGCATGTGGATGATCACTGACATTAAGGAAAAGGCATTAAATAGGCCTGGGCCTCAGGAGACCACTCAGAAGCATTACAGAGATTTAGTCTCCCCTCAGCCTTTAACCTCTTCCCATAAACACTGCCAAATGTGGCTTTCTAGGGTGCTGCGTCTCACACAGGCCAGCCATATTGAGCCTGGTCCCCATGTGACTAACTGCTCAGACCACTTTAGAGCATTAAGGGGATGCATGGCTTCAAGCCATAATGACCTATTCATCAGCAATCAGTCAATATGTTCATAAAAAATATAGATCTCAAAAGACTTCAGTGAATATGTGCAGTATACCATTCAAAAGTTTGGGGATTTTTACATTGCAACAAAAATTTATAACAAATAATTGCTATTCTTCTGAAGTTTTGATTTGCTAAAGAATCAAGCAACAAAAATGCAAAACGGTTTACACAAAGATATTAAGCAACATAACTATTTAACATCAACAATAATAAACTTTTACATCTAAAAATATATATCTTAATATATATTTTATATCTAAACAAAAATATAGATATTTTAAATTGTAATAATATTTCATAATATTACAATTTTTACAGTAATTTTTTAACAAATGAACAAATCTTATTGACTTATTGACAGTAGTGTATGTTTTTCTGGTGTTGTTCAGATTCTGCTGACAGACTCGGAGTGATTGTAGAAACAGGAAATGACGTTAAATGAGATGTTGCAGCAGATAAGCCCGCTGTTTCATCTCACTGTCCGGTTCTGGCAGACAGAAAGCCCTACGGTGTATTTACAGAGACAAAACCTCCCCACTGCACAGCTCAGTGAACAGACACAACACAGAGTTCAGCTCAACTGCATCCATCCCCACAGCCAACGGGCAAAAACACAAGACACCTTAGCACAAAAGACAGCACTGAGAACCATAATGTGCCTTAAAACCCCCACTATTACCCGGAATGGAAACGAACTGCGCCCCTCGATGCTTGTAACACAGATGTACACACATCATCAGGAACAATACACCTCCTGGATACAAACTACTTCAACAGCGAAATGCCTTTCCAGTGAATGACACTTCAGTGCAATCCCGCACCGCTCCATTTCACATGAGCCTTTTAAATATTATCTGAATTACAGCAGGACATTGTCAAACTTCTTTTCATTTTGTTTACCAACATCTTATCTTCCCCACTAAAAACCCTGCGGACATGGAGCCAAATCACACAATCAAATAGCTTCTCAAATAGCAGCCTGAATCCTGCACTGCATTGTGTAGTAACGCTGTAGTTCAATTACGAGTTGATACTAAATATATATGAACATGAGATATGAAAAACAACCTTATGTATCTCTTGACAGTGTACTTCAAGGGGCAATGTTCTCAAGGGGCAATGTTCTCAAATTTAACAGAGCAGTTGTCATCTACCCGGGTTAACTAGTGAATTGACAGTGAATGCTGTTACACAATACACTCTTAGACTGTTATAATATTACAGAAAAAAACAAGACTGAAGGGTGTAAAAGAGGTGGGCGTGCAAAAAGCCAGGAATATATTCGTTGAGGTGTGCGATTACACTCCCTAGTTTAGCATCTGTGTCAGGTGATTAAGTGTTAATTTGTGTCTATATATACACACAAGCATGTTTGTGTTGTGTCAGGCAAGTCAAAGCCGGAATGCCTCACGCTGTTATTTTCACACAGGGCGTGGGGAGGTATGTACTGTACATGCTAACTGCCCCGACAAAGAATTGAGTTTGGTCCCACAATGAGGGGGATTCAAGTTTTACTACAGTATAGCCATGGTTCCTGCTCCTCATTTCTAGTATTAATGGCAGTCTAAAACACTTTATCTGTTCACATCTGATTCAATCATTGTTCAGCTGTCCAAACTAAAAGTTTGTACCCATTTAAAACACTGAGTAATGATGATGACTATTGACACAGTTGCTGTAATTCAAATATGAAAGGAGACAGGAAAGCCAGTAAGCAAATCATTTAAAGAATGAAAGACAGACAAGCAGATACGAGAAGGAAAAATGCTGAATTTAGCCCTGAATTAATTTGAAATCCCCCCTGAGCACGGCAATCTGTTATCACCGAGACACATTTGAAAGGTTCACACTGCTTGGCAAAACTGGATCATTTGATCCCAAGGCAGTTTTCTTGCTTTCTGCAGTGCTTTAAATTTGCAAATGTGCTGACACATCACAGCAACAGTGAAGACTGAGAAAGGAAGCAAATCGAAAGGATGAAATGTGACTAGTCAGACATATTAAACTAGAGTAAACTAAAGCAAAACCTTTAAACAACTTTTTTGATAATGTTAGATGTAACATTCATCCTTACCTGAAGGCCTCTCCTCCTTAATATACTGGAGTCATCCATTTTATTGTCTTGTATCTGATCCAGACTTTAGTGACGTTTTCCTACTTTCCTAATCAAGGATAAAGTCTTCTATCCAATATTCATCAGAATTCAATGAGGCACAAATGATCTGTTAGAGACCCGGCTTTGGGTATCAGTGCTGGGAATTCGCTCTTTGCTGATGTCATGCTCATCCAAAGCAAAAAACAGATGCGATCATCCTATAAGTTTAGCAAATGTCTACTGAACAATTTTTCAGTCTTGTTCGCAACTTTTCTCACCTAAAAGTGACAGGCACTCATGAAAACATCAATGTCCTCTATTTGACAGTATAGATTTTCAACAGGTATTCCAAAAACTGAAAAATTTAAAGAATACAGTTCAACATGAGGACACTGAATAAGTCAATTGACAGCAGGAGAGCATTTCAGCACATGGCTCACATTCTTGTTCCCCGTTCACTGTTTGCTTCAGGCGGTTCAAAGAAAGGAGAGCTTTCAGAACAGTGCCTCTGTATCTCTCGGTATCTTCACTTCCTCGGAGTGTGGAATGGCTGGGAAATATGTGTCTCCCTGAAACTCTTTCTTCATTCATCCATTCAGCATAGGCGACCTCCACTATCATAAAAACATATTTTCACCCCAGGCTCAAGGAATCACAACTAAGTTATTTTCCTGTGCCTCTCCTTTTCCTCACTCTGACACACTCAAGTCTCCAGAGATTCCCAGATATCTTCATTTCTATGGAAACTACAGCCTCTGCATAAACGGTGGACAGTTAATGATAAAAATGGCACCTCAGGGGATGAAAACAGAAAAATATTCAGGTCAGCACAGTCTTCCAGAGATGCAGAATCAGTCTAAGACGCAATGAAATGCATTAAACCGACCAAGAAAAGTTTATCCCCCCAGTGCATCCATTTACCTAGTTGGTTAATTCAAGTAATCCAGTAAGTAGTTAATCACTTGCTTCAGCCCAAGGGAGGCTAAAAGTGGAAGGGCGGAAGCAAGCAGAAAATATTTTCAGCCTACACTCTTGAGATAATCTGGAAACAGTCAGTAGCAGCAGCAGGAGAATGCAGGCACTGGCTGCCCACTGACAGCACAAGGCAAACAACAACAACTCCAGTCAGAGTCGCATGGCTGGATTCCATTCCCCTCGGCCGAGAGGCCTCCGTCTCTCATTCGCCAGGAAGGCAGGCGGATGACAAAAGCCGTGCTGGCAGAGCTGTCTTTTCAGTGACAGGTGCAAACAGACACTGCACTCACGCTGATTGATTGTCTGCTTTTTCTTCGCATATCTCCCAGCCTTTATTCAGCTTCTTCAAGCTCAGCCTGGTGAACCGGACTACAGCCAAGGTTGGTCTCCTGAAATCGTTTGAGATCGGGGGAAAAGATGAAAATTCCATGCAGGATGAGTGTCACTCAGAATCTCCTCATCTTCTTCCCTGTTAAAGCATTTGAAGCGGTCCGCTGTTTGTGAATGGGCTGCAACGGTAGAGACACAATTCAGCCACATTCAACCTTGTCATTTAAATCTTCCGCTTGCACAGCCTTCTATCAGTGCACATGCAGGTGGTTAAAGGAATATAATAGCTGTATTTCTTTTCTTTGCTTGTGCTGTACATAGAAGCCTTCTTTATCTTCCGTTTCTCGCTTTCTTGTTCCTTGTAAGCTCTCCTCCTCCTCCTCTTCCCAGCGCCTCACTGCTGAATGCTGCTTTATCTGTCCTATCAGTCAGCAACACATCCAGCCAGCCAATCAGACGCATACAGACTCAGAGCTATTTGCATAATATGAATGGGGGAGCAAAAAGGCCCCACCCCTTTACTCCCTTCTGTGCCATTCTGCTCACAACGGTCTGCTTTACCCCAAAACATAAAAAAAATACACATGCACACAAAAATACACATTCCCTCTTCTTACTATTCTGCCATACTGCTGCAACAAGCACAAAATGTCCTATTCTTTATGCCTCTCCTTTCTTTTCAAATAATGCGTCTGTGTATTGTACAAGGAAAATAAGTGAGTCTAATATCAATATATTCAGTAATGACAGTCTAATGAGATTGTGCAGGGCTTTCCTTCAGTACAGTGATGCATTAGCAGTGGCTGTATTCATCTCAAGGGACTGCAGGAACAAAAGCAAGAGGGATTATCGTCGATAGGCAGATCATTGCCATTGCCACTGCCATACATACTGTATATATATGTGTATTAATCACCCACCTCTCCTCTCTCTCTCGCTCTCTCTCTCGCTCTCTCTCTGCCTCTGACATCATAGAAGCAGAACAGGCAAGATAACAAACATGAGCATAGAATAAAATGGTATGTGTAGTGGAGAGAGAAAGAGAGACGTGGAGAGAGAAGCTCTTTCCTCCCACACACACAGTGAAGAGCGGACAAAGAGTCATTATGTGATCAGGTGAGTACCAGAGGCAAAGCAAATTATGTGTTTGGATTTGTGTGTGCACATGCCTTTGTAGTAAGATCACATACAAAACCATAGTAACTTTAAGTTTGCAGGGTCAGAGTTTAGTGGAATGGACACTGTGAAAATACAATGAACAAACTAAACTCTTCATTCACAAGTAGTTTTTGTTTAAAAAAAACATGTAATTACTAGATTTGAAATTTGTAATTGCTAGTTTTGTAATTACTAGGACTGTCAATTTAGTATGATTAATTCTAAACAAAAAGATTAATAAGAAAATGAATGCTCTTAATCATGCTCCCTTACTTATACGTAAATTTACATGAGGAATTTTCTTAAAATAGCTATTTAAAAAAACTATTAAAAGACATTAAGGGCAGCAACACTTACTCAATCTCTGGAGCTATTTTCCACAAGATAACTGAATTTCTGACATATTTATGATTGATCACAAACATTACATTTTGTTCTTTTTCTAGGGCCCAATGAAATCCTCTTTAATTTTCTGGATTCTGTTTAAAATTTTCAGGACTCCCAATGGTTAAATTAAATGTTAAATGTTATTCTGTGTTTAAGCATATATAATTATTTGAATGCATAAAAACTTTTTTTTTTTTAATGATAGCCCTATGAAAGTTTTTTTTTTCCCCCCCAGAAATTCTGTTGTGTATAATTAAATTTTTCTGGCATAAAACATTTAATTTATGTTTTAATCAAATGAAAGTTAAGCAAACTCTTTATTTATTGGCAAACAAAGGGGGTTACTATTAAAATTAAAACATGGAAGAAATATTGTGTAATTACTCAGTTATCAAAAAAACTTTTAATAATTTTAGTAGTAGTAGTAGTAGTAGTGGCAGTAGTGTTACATACTGCACAATAGTAATATATTTCTGACAACCAAACTTTTTTTTTTGATGGGTTGCCACGAGGACCTTAAAGGCACAATATGTAAGATAGAGATATAAAGAATGAGAATAGTTCTTTCAGAGATATAGAATTATGTTTTGTTAATGAACAGTCAGTCATTTATTTTGTGAATCACTGAATCACCATTCTTTCTTTCTCCTTTCATAGATGCATTTAATGCATTAAAGGCACAATATGTAAGATTTTTTTATTAAAATATCCAAAAACCAATAGAACAGTGTTATATATTTTGCTGACTTGTGTACTTACATTATCCCAAATGTTTCGAAGAATGTTTAATTCCAGAGAAATAAGCAATTTTAACTAGCCACATGGACCGTGTCCATAGTGTCATTGTGTCACCTGCCAATGAAGTCATAACACCTCGATTTCCGGTTTTGTTTTGTAGAAAACATGGAAACATGTTGTTATAATATGTTGTGCGTTTTAATAGACCGGTGACGACCGCACAGAGTAGCATTATAACAGAACTTTCAAATGTATCTAGTATGATAAAACAGCGCTGCTTTTTTTTCCCCACATACACACGACCGGAAGGAGCGGAAGCGGTCCACTGTGGCATAATAAAAGCTCAGCTGCTTTCAAGCCGTGTGTTGCGCTCGTTCAGCGGCCTCGTTTCGCGTCTACGACTTTCAGCCTCACCCTGCTTCATTCTACTACATTAATAAATCATTATTTGGGAATTCCGCATTATATCATAGGGCCCTATTTTTTCAAACCAAAATTGCGCCCATCCTTGTGATTCCACAATCAAATTTCCATGCAAATATGTCATGACACATGCAAAACGTCATGTGATGAAAATTTTTTTCACTGTACATTTTCATAGCACTTATGTTGAAATACATGGATATAAGCACATATTCTTGACCAAGCGAGAACCCAAATATAATTATTCAAAATCAAATATTGAAAATAACACTCATTTTATTATTTAATACTTAAAGGCACAATCTGTCATTTTCGCCGCTGGAGGGCGCGTATTCAAAATAAACAACGAGACAAAGGCGTAGTTTGATGACGCTGTGACTGAGTGTGGAATCATGGGAGTTGTCGTCTTCATCCCCACAGCCGATGCAATCCGACGGGACTCGGGCAGAAATCATGTTCATGGATGAGCTAATGATTTATTAACGTAGTAGAATAAAGCAGGGTAGGGCTGAAAGCCATCAAAGCGAAACGAGAACGTTGAACAAGCGCGACACACGGCTCGAAAGCAGCTGAGCTTTTATTATGCCACAGTGGACCGCTTCCGCTCCTTCCGGTCATGCGTATGTGGGGGGGAAAAGCAGCGCTGTTTTATCATACTCGATACATTTGAAAGTTCTGTTATAATGCTACTCTGTGCGGTCGTCACCGGTCTATTAAAACATATTAAAGCATCTTTGGTGTTTCCATGTTTTCTACAAAACAAAACCGGAAATCGAGGTGTTATGACGTCATTGGCAGGTGACACAATGACACTATGGACACGGGCCATGTCACTAGTTAAAATTGCTTATTTCTCTGGAATTAAACATTCTTCGAAACATTTGGGATAATTTAAGTACACAAGTCAGCAAAATATATAACACTGTTCTAGTGGTTTTTGGATATTTTAATAAAAAAAAAATTCATATTGAGCATTTAATGTATTAAATGCATCTATGAAAGGAGAAAGAAAGAATGGTGATTCAGTGATTCACAAAATAAATGACTGACTGTTCATTAACAAAACATAATTCTATATCTCTGAAAGAACTATTCTCATTCTTTATATCTCCAATGGTCTATATAGTCAAGTTCCTCAATATAAACTACAAAAATCTGTATGCAGAATTATTTTAAAGTAAACTGTCCAGCTAAGCAAGCAAGATAAAGCAGCCAATGTGACCTCATTGCCCCCTTTACACACACTCTTACATACAGAGCCTGATTTATCACATCTAAGTTCAAAGCTCAGTGGTGAAGTTAAGGACCAGAGAGGTATCATAGCCCATTGCTATCCAAGTCTTATCATGTGTAGTTACCCAGTAACTGAAATGTTGCCAGTTTGCCAAATGTGTGAGAATGAGGCATCTGCTATTGGAGGCAGCCTACATCTTCAGGAATAAACATCTTCAGGAATGTTTGAAGGATAGTGTGAAACATTGGGTCAAGTATTTTTAGCCTATGTTAGCATAGTACAAGCCGATTTCAACATTAATAGAAATAATGCTGTACTGGGTAGTATAAGTCAATCCATACAGGTCAGTAAACATTTTATCCTTTACAAGCAACTTAACTGTTATACATACACTCACTCTATGTATGAAGATTGCTTAAAAATAGCTGGGTTGCCATCCAGGTATTTATATGCAAATTTTGAAATAATGCATTAAAAAAAGTTTGGATGAAACACCAATATTTTATTTATTTTTTAAATCATTTTCATTTTATGTATTTTTTTTATCTTTGATTTAAATGTATTTTTTAAGAAATGTATTCAGTTTAAAGACTGCAATGTAAACACATTTACCAAATAGATTCCTAAACTAAGATAAAAAACAATAATCATTCACCTAAATAATTTGCTCAGAGAAAAAATAAATCTTTTTCCACTAATTTCCCTGAGAAGTGACGTTTTTGTTCTCTTGAACAAGTGGAACTGAAATTGTGCTTTATTCATAAATTGTTTTCCAATATTTAGAAATATGTTACATAAATTGAATTTGCAGCTCATGGCAACATAGCAATAGACTCCATACTGTAAAATAATGATTTTTGAGGTTGTAACTAAAAAAAATTACTGGAGTATGTTTTACAAGAAAATACTAAATTTTCTACTTCAAAATTTCACGATTAATGTGTTACTTGCCTTTTCTTTGAAACGGTTTGTGAAATTCACTAGCAATTTCTGAGTGACAATTGTTTCTACACTAAATATTTTTCAGTGTGATAAATGAGAGGGTGGGAGGGGGGCACGTGATTATTTGAGTGTGCCCCACAATTTGGGTAAACTCAAGGAAGCACACCACATTTTACTTAGCTCAACACTGAGGCAGAATGGTCGTGTCGCATTGTTAGTGTCGGGAAGGACGATTCAAATTAATTGTATGCTGTAAATATACATCACTAATGAACCCGCTTTACTGCAACATCCTGTAAGGCTTCAAATAACTGTATTACATTACCAATGTGAGTCTGGCGTAGTTACACTCGATGACCTGCACCTGGGAGGCCCTTCATGCAATGAAAAGCTGACGCATGACAAATACTCAGACTGTTCATGTAATAAGATAGTCCTGACCTAGCACACACTCCACAGACACTGCTCCAGTTTCAAACGAGACATGGACCCTCATAAATCACAT